ATGTATTTTGAAGGAAACAGTATATCTTTATCAACCTGTTGGTTTGTAATGACAAAACAACTATTTATTGATACTTTTTTGTGGTGACTGGAACAATGGCAGCCTTAAACACCAATTCAAGTATTTAATAAGAATTATAATATCCCTGTCATTCTCAGCACCAGAAGAGTTTACTGAAGGTTCCACTTCCCTGTTGATGAAAATGAGAATAGTTTTACAATTTGCTTTCACTGGAAAAATCTGTTCACCTCACCAAAAGGTGCCGTTGCTCTGAGAATTTTCCTCTATAAGGTTTTCTGATTTACAGTAGGTTTTCAAGTTTGCTTGTCCTTGTGATTCTAGCGATTACCTTCAGGCTCTTAAGAAAAAGTTCCTGTAGTTTCAGTGAACATGAGTGTCAAAGAAACTATTAGTCGGTAAAAGAGGAAACATTTCACTTGAGCATTAATGTTGTAAGAATCTGCTTGTTTTTTCCACATCGTTGCTGAGGTAACCTCTGAAAATAATTGATAGTAGTATCCACTACTAGTGTCATCCACTGTCACAACACCATTTTAGAGTCTTTCCAGTCAAGGTTTATTACTGCTTAATGGATTTGCTTCCAAAATTATTCAGGAAGGAAGAGGGATAAATATAAACTTTCCCAATATTATTTTATTTCCATCTTGAAAACATCCATTCAAAAACATGAAAGTGAGCCCTGACCATGTGGCACAATAGTTGTGAAGCTCAGTTGAGCTTCTTACAGAGAAATTTTACAGTCAAGGATTTCATCTGCAAAAAAGTGCTGTTCTTGAAGCCCCACTTTATTGCACTAAGCATTGCACTTCTTTCATTGCCCCAGCTAGTTAGGTTAATTCTGTCCCCGCTCTTCTTCCCCAGCACTGCTTGTAATCTACCACCTGCAGAGGCTGTTAGGAAGAGCCTGTTTACTTGCTCATGCTGTGACTCACTACTCTTCAAAGGAAAAAAAAGTCTTCTGTACCAGTAGTCTATCACTGGAGCCAAGATAAGAAGGAAAAACCTCCTTCTGAAATCTTTAGGAATGACACTAGTGATAGAAAGACCCATGTTCCCCCAAAGAGATGAAGTTGTAATGCTTTGAGGAAGGAGGATTTAAATAAAAGGAAAACAAACAAGCAGGCATGAAGATGGGTTAAAAGAAATAGACAACACAGAGAATTATTACCCTCTAATGTAACATTCACAATAAAAATTTTCTTTCTTTTCTTCTAAAGCATAATGTGCTTTTGCAGACTGCTACAGAGGTAGTAAAAATACATTCCTACAGAAACAATTATTACAAGCAAAGAAAACAAGAGGAACCAGAGACCTTTCAGAAACGAAAGTGCCCAGAATGAATTCCAGCATAAACTAGATCTCATGAAGAATAGAAAGAAAAGAGTAGTAATATATTACACTTCTTTTTTTAAACGAATATCTACTGCCCAGCAATCATTTTAAAATAAAAAAATGTCAGATCTGGGAATAAAAATTGAAAAAGTGACATGAAGTCAAGCGTGTTCCTCATTATAAATCTCAGTGAAAGGGGAAGCTGAAAATACATGATGTCGTGGTAAGGAGGCAACCCGTGCACCTCTCCCACGCTCAATGTTTTACAGTAAGAATGACAAGCAGTGAAAACTCAATACTGCATTTTACAGTATAACTGAATGGAAGAGCAAACGCAAGAGGAAGGAAAGATAGTTTATAGTAACATTATTCTAAGGGAGCAGGACAAAATTCTGCCTTTTGATTTTGATTTTCTGTCAACATCAGACTTAAAATGCAGACTCGTACTGTTCTATCTTCATTCTGGCTTTTGATTCAGGTTTCGTTGAGACAGAATTTGGCCCACCCAAGCAAAGAATAGAAGTGAAAATGAGGTTCCCTATGTTTGCAAATTGGTATTACAATTCTTCCTGCTGCCTGAATGAAGCTATTCTCCATGCTGCATGGAAGTCATTCTGCAGTCTTGACCCAGGCAAAACTTCTGTTGGTTTTAATTGTAATTTCCTGGCTGTGGGTTGCATTTCTTAAGAGTTTTTTAATGTGTATACTTTTCCTTAGCAGGATGTGAAACACAGCTGGATAAAAAAAATAAGCAGTTTTGAAAGTATCATTTGTTTTCACGCTTGAAAGGGCAGCTTCAGCTGTAGTATTATTGTGCCTGTATATGCAAGTATAATCAACGTTTCTTCTGGTGACTTAATATTATACTGCCTTTTTAAATGTTTTTTAAAACGGTTGATGAAATCATCTTAATTAGATTATTTGCTTTAACATCTGCTGCTGTTGTCATTTAATTTTCAGTGTTTTCATTTGGTGGAAAGATTTTTCTTTTCCATCTTGCAAAACAACAAAATATCTGTATGCACATATGTAACCATAGAGTGTATACATGTATTTTTAGTACACTCTGTTCCTTCAGCTGTGCTTGGGTAACCTGGTAAGCTTCATTGCCTTGTGTTTGCATGATCATGATGAACAGCATGGGGGGACTTTTGTAATGTGATAAAAGAGCTGTGAAATCTCACATTTGCTTGCAGAAATAGGAAAAATGTGTGTCTTGCCATGACCAAAGAGTTTTTTGTAGGCTACAAAAGTTCTTTAAAATAAACAGTAAGAAGGAATGGGACCACAGTCTCCTGTAAGTATAGGGAGAATTAAGGTAAGCTTTCAGTAGATCAATATTTAGAGCTTTAGAACTGCTTCCTGTTATTCTCCTGGCTTATTTTCAACCCTTTTTAGACTCAGTCAGCTGCTGAGATGCTACCTTTGTGTGATACTTTAGATTTTAATGAGGAGCTTCTCACAGTCCAGCTGTATTCATCGGAAACAAGTCTAGGAGCTGAATATCAGAGAAACAGATAGCCTGGAAGACTGTTCTGTAGTCTCAGGAAAAGCTGACCACTTTCTTCTGAGGGTAAACAACAAATCTATGAACAAATCTATTATGGATATGCTCTAATGAGGTTCTGAAGTGTTTGCTTCACTCCTCACCCCAAGATTCTGAGTCAATAAATAAATTTTAAATATACCATCTTACTGTATCCTGACTTGCAGAGACTGTACAGAGGCAAAAGAAAAAAACCCGCATGCTAGCATATGAATTATTCCATGTCATGGCACCTCCTTGTGTAAGGGAATTTTGTGTTTATTTTTTTACAGTTAGAATCTGCAGAGTATAAACTGAGTACACTGTAACAGTGGAAACTCTACTCTTTGAGTGGGTTCCTTTCAAATGCTAAACTAGATAATACACCGAGCCCCTGTTAGGTGTGAGTAGTAATCCTTTCATGGCCAAAAGTTCCACACCGATTTCACTGGTATCAGAGACTGACTAGTGATAAACTAGTTACTGGCTTCCATAGTTATGGAGCTGCATCGGAAGACTAGTTAAACTTAGACAGAAAGAAAATGAAAATAAATCAACTAAATTCCAAACAGTTTGAAAGCAAATCATCCAAATCCCTAACAAAATCTTTTAACACGTTTTGACTGAGGTCTGAGTTATTACATAAATGGAAACTGCTTCTTCTCAGACACTGCTGCCATTTTCAAGTGAATGGGGCAGTTCACTTCAGCTGCAGTCTCCTGTTCAAGCCTTGTACCCAACATCATCTCCTGTGCTGGTGGGCACAGGGGCAGCTGTTCCCACTATCTGACCAGTTGTATGTGCAGGAGAGACTCACAGAGAAGATAGCAGCACATCTTCAGAGGCACAAACGCCTACTGAGAACTTTCTAGGGGCAAATATTTGTGGACTTCAGTTGTGCACTTGAGTCATAGCTGGAGTGGCAGAGGGACAGAAGTCAAATTTCTATTTTTGATTAAAGATACTTCAGTTCTTTGCAGCTGACACTGATTTAGAGAGTACTAGTCAATATACTTGAGAGCAGAGATTTATTCAGAGGGGCCCAGAGACACTAAATGGCCAAAAGTAATCTTGTGAAGTTCAAGGACAATGCCAAGTACTGCACTAGAGAAGTATGAAACTCTTGCAACCATAAGGGCTGGGGACTGCCTGGCGAGGGTAGACCTCTGTGGAAAAGGCCCTGTGAACAGCAACTTCTGTTTGTAACATGTGCTTTAAGTACTGAAGAATAAAATTCAGCCCTTAGGAAAAATGCCTGGTCAGGAATATAGTGCAATCATTTCACTTAATAGCAATCACTGCACACTATATAAATAAAAGATAACTACATGGTCCTTCTTCTACTATTTCAATAAAACAAGATAAGTTTTCCCTTCTGGAAGAATTGAGATTTTCTAAAAGGAACATTATGTATTATATTACCTGCTTGTCATTCACGCTGTTGTACCAGCAAATCTAGAAAACATCTCAGCTACAAATGTCATCCCTTCCCCCTTCAATTTAACTTCAAGGCAGTTCACTACCTGTTTCCATCTTCTCTGCATATAATAGCTACTTGTAACAATTAGTAAGTAGGTGCTAACCAAAACAAGCTTAGAAATCAAAGACACTGGGTTTGTCACCTTCTCTACCGGCATGCATATTAGAGTGATAGATGGGGGTTTGGGTGGAGTTCAGTTTGGTTTGTTATTGCCTATGGATCACGTAGCTTCTAAATGAGCGCCAATTGTGTGACACTAATTTCCACAGAAGACCTGAGTTTAAAGTGTTTGATGTAGAAGTTGCTATCTTATCATATAGAAGAGCTTGCTCTGTCACTGTCTTACTTAAGAGCAGTGTGGGGACTTTGAACTTTTCAAGACTTGGAACATTTTCATGTTTTTAAGTATGGATTCAAGAAATTTGTCCCTGCTGAGGTCAGTGCCTCTCTCAGTGCTGCTCAGTGCTGGTAAACTAAATACAGCAGATCAGTCTATGCAAGCAGAAGTGCCCGGAGATGCTGGACCAAAAGATTGAAATAATTCATATTTTTTTTTCACCACTTGTGCCTGTTTTTAAAAACTTGCTCAGTTTTTTCAGGACCCCAAAACAACACCCATTCTCTCTGTCTTGCAGGAGAACAATCACAGGTTTCCATCTTTACTGACCAGACATCACCATTGCAATCTCCATTGCCACCCAGCATCTGAGAAAACTTTGCCCTGAAAGTCCAGATTGGGATTCAGTAAAGAAGAAAAATGAGAAAACATGTTTTGCTGTGCATAACCCACAACTCAGCGGTAAAAAAAGCAGAGGCAAGTGTCTATCCCGTGGAAGTAAGTACAGAGGGAGAGGTGGAAGAGAAGTACAGCAAAGAAACCCTATGCAGCACACAGAGCTCTGCACTGCATTCCCTTTTGTACTACAGGTACATACATCCTACCCTTCCGCAGAGCTGCAGAGCTGTGAGCTGTGGTTTAGGGTGGGGTTGGTTTGTGGTTTGGTTTTTTGTGTTTGATTTTGTTTGTTTGTTTTTGTGAGGGGCAGTTAGCAAACTGGATAGATGCTGAAATATGGTTCTTTTTTTGAAGGACTAGTTCAAATTCTCAAAATATAAAAAATATTACATTATTACTGCAACATTTTACAGATGAGAAATAAAGTTGAGGCTTCAAGAAAAGTTTGTTTTCTTCTGTCTTGGTTTGTCAAACTGACCATAAATGAGAGTCCAAGACTAACCTGAGGATTTGAGGATTTCAGGTGGTAATTGCTAGATCTCCAACCTTGAAACTACAGTGAATCTTTAATAGAAGAAAAGGTAATCATCACTTCAGTGGAGATGAGGTCTTGTGAGAAAAGGAAAAAGGTCTGTGGAGCTTAAGTAGGCTGTGAGATAGTAACAGCAAATTACTTTAACCAGAGTATCTAAGGATATTTTACATTTCAGATTAACATTCTTAATGTGGCAGTTACATGTACACTTCTCTAACAGTACACAGTGTTTTGAGTTGTACTTTCTGCACAAGGTAAAATTACTTCTGTAATGAACAGTTCCATTCCTTTATAAACGTGTGACTGATTTCTGTAACACTTCCCACTCAGTTTACGTGCAGCCTCTGTACAGGTATAGTATAATTTATTTTCACAGTCCTTTGTAAGTGAGTGTCATCTCACTGATAGGGGTTCCTTCACACTCTTTCATATAGACACTTTCTTGGTCCTTTGAGCTGCCACTGAATTGTGTTACATTACATGTATCTTAAACTACCAGTAAGCCACAAGAACAATGAATTAATGAGTCCCTAACATTAGACACAAAGAAGAGGTTATATGGCTTTACATACTCCTTTATGTCAAAATCACAGTGCTATGCTGGTAAAGCAAACTGATTCTGATACAACATGGATCTAAATGCATTTTGTTTGCTGGCATTTTTATTTATTATTTTAGACATTTTTCTATCTGGGCTTCTTTTCTAGCCCAAAGACATCTGGAAAGAACTTTCAAGATAAGTAAAAAATATAGCACACAAAGCCAGCAGCAGTCTTTCAAGCAGTAAAATGATTGTATCATGGATTATAGTGATTTTCTTAGACAACATTTTGACACATAAGTGTTAGGACCAGTAGTTTGTCATGGCGGCTTTAAGGTGGCATGCAAATCATTTACTTTGTTCTTCTGCTGTTTCCAGTCTTCACCATATCATCTCTCTCTAAACAATCTAAATTTCTTCCTGTTCTGCTTATGTGTGCTGAAAATATCTAAGTAGTAATTCAAGTTTTAAGGATTAGAAGTCAAAATAGAAAAGCTTGCTTCCAACATGAAGGTAAAGGAAAGGTCAGCAGAGCAGTCAGAAGGATGACTGATACGGTTTGACAATTCAAGTAGTCATAGGGAGAGGAAGACCATTACAGCCACAATTTAAAGAGAAGAATTAGTAGGAGGTGAGAGTCAAATATGACTTCGGACAATAAGTGAGTGGTTGTCTGGGAGGCAATGCCTTCCTATTTTTTAGTGACAGCAATGGACTGAGAAGTCACTCTGAGAAGTCTGAAGAAAGCAGTAGGCACTTATTGGAACAGACAGTCTGACTCTGCTTTTCTGAAATGTCACTCCGTGCTCAGTAGGAGAAAAGTAAAAGTAACGGACTGCTGTGAGTGTCACAAAGTAAGAAGGCCTTAATCTGAGAATAATAAAAACTACAGATGTAGATAGACTTTGAACTAGACCCAAAAGCTGTCATCTGTAAGACTTCCGAAGATGAAATCTGCGAATCATGATGCAAAAGGGAACACAAGGAAAGTATCAGTATTACTTGTTGCACAATCTCTAGTGGCTGAAGATAATGAGAAAATTCTTGGGGGAATGTGATGGATAATCTTTTGCCAATGAAACAAGACTGAAACCCCTTGTTTTCCTGAATATTTCAATGTTTATTGATGGTGCTCTCACATTTGACAGCTTGCTACTGGTGGGTGGGTAGCAGTCCAGATTTCATCTGTGTGATATAAACGCTGTACTTTAAAATAACCACAGACTTGTCAGCACCATGTACCATCTACCCCCCGACTCCATGCAGTAGTCTTCTATTTTCAACAAACTGCAGGTCTTCCTTTCTAAAACCTTTTAGGAAAGACAAGAGAAATTCAGTAGCTAGGTAGAGATCTTGACTTGCCCAAGGCAGTAGAAAGGTCAGGTAGTGTTTCTGTTACTTCAGAAATGAGACAGTCATCTGCCTATGGCCTAACCATACTTCCTGTAAGGTGGCTGACAAGAGTCTGCTGTAAAGGCTTTCATATCTAAAATGGGTTACAAATCCTGCAAGTGATCAGCAGCCCAACCCATAAAACTCAAATGGTGATGATCAGATCAATCAAATGTCCAGTCACATGTGGGACAAACTGGTATGGAGGATTATCCATGCGTAGGATTATCCCTACGTGTGTTTGATAATATAAAGAAAAAATAGATTTATGGTGGTAGGCTAGTATAGGAAACGTGCATTCTCATAGTGAATCTGATACTGCCTTGCAATATAGGTACTGCAAGCACAATATTACTGGTTCTGCTGATGCCAAGGGACTATGCAGGGTCACACACTCAGCTCACAAAGCTTGAAAATGCCTGTGAATGAGTTTTTACCAACTACTAAGATTATTTTTAATTAATTCATTAAACTATCTAGTACCTTGAATACCACAGGATTACAGTGTAAATGTTCTACATTAATACAAGTTTGAATTGCTAATTACAAAATGAAGGAGAAATCAATACAACATGTGGTAATGCATCAACAAATGTAATCTAGTACTTCAGGACTTACTGGCAATTGCAAATGAAACATCACTACTGCAGCATATTTTTAGCTTAATGCTTTACTTCTGTGGTGAAAATGTTATATTTGAAATCTTAAATAAAAATACAAAACATTCAAGAGCTCCCGAGGAAGCAACTTTCGGCCTGAAAGTACTTTTCCAGTGTCAGTAACAAAATTCTAGTACTTAGGACACAAATTCAGCCCATCAAAACTAGCTGGAACAAACATTGTAACTTCTATTAATTTATTTCTCTTTTTTTACATCTGAATGTGATTGATACATCTCTGAACACTGGCTGAAGAACCTTGTTTCAAGAGGTAAGTCAACTGAGAAAAAAATCTCACGCAAAAAAGAAATCTAAATAAATTATTTTTTTCTTACAAAAAACCCCCTACATTTATAAACTTAGTGCAAAACATTCATCTATAACTGAATGGAGGTTGAGCTAAAAAAGATCTTCACACATCAGTGCAATGCCACCAGGATTCCCCTGAAATTTTACATGGAATTTGTCAATCTCTTTCAGCTATACTGGGAAAGTCTTCTCAAAACGAGAAGTTTACCAAGTAGGAGAAGCACAGAAACACCCTTAGTTACTCTCATGAGACATTTGGCTGATTAGTCTGATTAGTTCATACTCCAACCAAACATGTGGTTGGAGTACTTTACTGTGGGTTTTGCAGCTTGGTATTTGCTGTTAGAATCAACAGAAGGCAAAATGGAAGCTTTCTCTGGACTGAAAACACTTCTGTTTTGCAGGGAAATATGTTGCTGCTTCTTCCTGATTCACCTCACATCTTTAACACTCTAAATATACGTGGGTAATAGAGACAGATGAAAGTCTGTGTAACTGATAGAATTGTGTTACTGTGGCTGCTGACAGATAGAGAGAAAAGCTCAGTGCTGTGAAAGTTTTTCATTCTGATGCCCACTTTCCACAGCAATAGGTGCAGGACAAGAAATTAGCTGCATAATAGGATGTTGTCTCTGATCCGATTGGGAGAGGTACCTCAAAAAATCTGAGCAATTTTGTAATAATTCAGAACCATTGTCCCCAAGAGATTATAAGGCAATGCATGTGAAAAGTTCACACTATAACCTAGAGATGTAGAAAAGGAGGATAAACATTTTGTAAATAAGTGGTTTACCAAGAATAGGTGAAATAAAAGTATTCTTTGACTTGCTAGAGGAAATGATGATGAAAAGAGCAGGGATAAGACAGCAGAGGAGAAAACTGAAAAAGTTAGATGGAGAAAAATTTGTGAGAACCAATGATATGGTAAAAGTAAAGCTTCTACAGGGAGCAAGCAAAGTAAATAAATAAGGGAGAGAGAGGGAAGTCAAGACAGAAGGCATGTCTTTTCAAAGATTTTGCCTTGACTTTTTAAAAAAAAGCAGGGAAAATTACAAAATGAGAGATAATGCAGAACCTGCTATGGTAGCAGTGGCTGAAAGGCCTCTTACCACATTCTAACTGTCCTTAGGAAAGAGAAGGAGCTTTCAGACTGCAAATCATGAGTTTGTGACAAATATTTCAGCACATCTGCATCATGCATTTTTGGAATAAAATGTAAAAAATGAAAACTTTAAACATCATGAAATACACTCTTTGCCATGCATTTTGATGTGATTTTCAGTTCCTCTGACAGAAATTTTTGAATGTCTATAGTCAATAGACAATCAAAACATCCAACCTTTTGAAACAACTTTTTGAAAACAAAACATTCAGCCTCTCAAACTAAGTAAGCAACATTAACTACTAATATTCTGCTAATTCGTTGTTTTGAAAAATAGCCAGTGGACCATATGCCCATGACAACACTGACTACTGTGTTAACTCTACACTGAAAACCAAAATAATCTGTAGTTCCATGTTATTGATCATTTTCTGATCAAGGGGTTAATGAGGTCCCTGCCATTGACACATTGTTGTGCCCATCTGCCAGCTCTGTTTATTCACTTGTTTGTGAATTCTGTCATCTAAAGCAGAACTGAAAAATTATCAGGTCATAGCAAGTCATTTCCTTAATCAGCATTTGAAAACAGCTCTTTGTAAACTTAGTCCAGAGTAGTCACACGGTCTCTGTTTGGGAAATGGGAACTTGCCGTGCTGAAGGTTTTGCAATGTGAGAACCCAGCCTGGTATTCCAGACGGGGCTGAGACTCTGCCTTTCAGTTCCTGTGGTTAGTGTATGCAGCGGGAGGTCTACGTTCGGGTGTCAGATCCCACATAGACTTTGTAGATTTATTACAAAGCATTTATTTGTTTAGTTGGATCTCTTGCTGAGCAAGTGTTTGGTAATTATGGGATTGCAGGTACCGCATGATGTAAATCATTCACAATTTTAAAAGATCATAGTATACATTTATCAATTTCCGTGGTGGTGATCTGCAGACCCAGCAGCATCACAATACATGTTTCAAAAACAAGCTAAGCTTGTGACAGTAAACACAACTATCATTTGCTACAACATAAAATAGTTATTGTGGTCTCTAGATTAAGAGAAAATACTGTCTAGAGGAGGGGAGCCTAAATTCCAGGATCTTTGTCTCCACACACTTGACTTAAGCAAACCTTCAATCATTCTCCCTCAAATAAAAAAATCCATTACATTTGCTGGTAACTACAATAAACAACTTGGCTTAAGTACTTTTTTCCTTCTTTCTTGACAGAGAGTCTCAACATGAAGAATGACAAATCATCTCAAATCATACTTAGTCTTTAGAAATTACTTACAACAAGTCAATGCCCCCGACAATAAAAGAAAGCATTTAATGTGGCAGACCATGATGTAAGGAAGCAATAAAAGGGAAACGCAGCTTGAACTGTCATACTGCCGAGTAACTCACATCTCCCTGCTGAAGGCAGCAAAGTTGCAGTTACTGAATGGCTAATCTCTTCTACTGTTTTTTAATCAGATGTTGGCATTATCTGCCACTAATTGCTTTTTCATTTCCACTTGTAATTATTCCATTGCATGTTTGTGGTGAGAAGCTGAAAATGAAGCAGATCACCAAGAAAGAATTAATTGTTAATGAATAATCATCAGTAGGAAGCCAATTTCATTATCTTCAAAGAGGTAGCTAGAGATTAACTACTGACTGCGGTTCTCCTACGTTCAGTGCATGACTGTAAAGTAATCACAAATAATCACACCCTCCAACTTCATCAATTAGTTTCTATTATGTGAATTGATACCCATTTTTGGTTTTGTTGTTTAATGTTAATGGTAGTATTCAAACTGGGGAGTGCTAATTGGAAGGTGTTGTATTCAGCAGTCTTAGACCCTAATTATTAGAGCATCTTTTTCATTAGCATATGATTCTAGAAGGGATATATGGTGGTAGTTGCTAAATTCACCTTGTTATAAATGCATTAACTTTATCAATATATTTTAGACTGTCACTTAAAATAGAATGATACATACAAAGCTACTTTGTCAGTAATGCACAGCAGTAGGTCAGTTTATAAAACGTGTCATCATTAACTGTTTTTTGAGAAATTCTCCTTAAATCAAGACGTCAAAAGCAAAGGCTGCTTGGGATTTAAGCAATGGGTATAATAGAGTGAAAGTCTGAAAGAAATCAACTAGAGTAAAAAACCTGTTAGATACTAAGCAGAAGTTTAAAAAAAAACACATTTGCCTTTTCGTTATCGCAGAGATTGATGTCCAGTGAGAACCGTTGACTATCAGCCTTCCATTCTTCTTTGCTACTGATTTCAATTCAGTCCTCTGTGATACCAACAGCAACTGTAAAGAATAGCTCTCCTAATGTTTTTAGATGAATTCTGTATTACACTTGTATAATATTAATGGAAAAAGAATAAAATAAATAACGCCACCTGTGGGATAAATTCAACCTCCCTGTACTGCTGCCCTCAATGAAGCCTCCAATCTTCTCCATGTGTGGATATCTGATAGCAGTGTAAATACTGTCTGTATTTTTTCCAGCTTTGTACCTCTGCATGTGAAACTCCCTGAACTTTGACCAAGAGAACAGTTGTCACCTGTTAGTTCTCTTCTATTTGAACTAATTTAAGACAAGCCAGCTTTTAGACACAACTTTATTATTCCCTGGAGCAGGGTACATAAGACAACCCCACCAACTGTGTCTGAAGAAATAAATACATTAATAGTAGTTTTGTTCATGATCCTCCTCAGCAGCCACATTAAAAGTTTAACTGGGAAAGATGATAATATATCAGTGTTCTGGAAACACAAAGGAATACCACTAAGGAAGAGGAGCTCTTTATGAACTTCAGGTTTTCTGCAAAAAGAAATAATGGAACTTTACAGCAACCTTTCACACTCCTAACACACAGCATCTCAGAGACTATGCCAGGCACAGTCAGTCATAAACTGCTTCTGAAAACGGTTATAATAAACATAGAAGTTTGACCTTTGCTGAGAAATAAAATTTGGCCTATCCAATTTGACCAGCAGTTCTGGAAACTGGAAAGTTCCATTCTTACATACAGGTGATAGTCACATCAAACCACCTCTTAAAATATTGCAGAGCAGTTACATTTATCTGCTGTCAATCATACAACTAACCCGTGCCACCTCTGCTAAGTACCAATATGTTTCTTTCTCTTTGAAGACTGCATTCAATGTGTTGTGACAGAGCTTGGATCACTGCAGTTACTTTCAGCCAAAATAGTCAAAAGCAGCAAAGGTAATATTCTCTTTAAGGCAAGATATTTTTCCCAGCTATTATGACATGTGATGTGCTGATGTCACTGTTGCCACAAAATATTATTCAAATTGTGCATATTTGCATCCAGAGTGGGGTGACTTCTGTTATATTTCTTTTTTGGCACAGAATCTGAAGATCTATTAAATAAATATTAATCCCTTGTTGCCTTCAAAGCTGTCTCTGCCATATTAGGATTTTAAATATCTTCATTAATTGCTTAACTACCTTTTCCTCAATTCCCCATGGGCTCTTTTGATACTAGTGGCTCTAATGTGTTACCATGTGATTCATGGCTTCACTCTGCTGTAACACAGAACATGTTTTTAGCCAATTTTGTCTTACAGATGCCTTTGACAAAATGAAAATTCAACATTTTCAGACTCCAAAGATAAACAGGCCTTGAGTTGTTAGAGTACTAAATTTTTAAAGGGATAGAAAGCATTTCTGTCTCAGTTCATGTTTGTGGAAAATGTTTGTGATCAAAATCATTGGTGAATAAATCCTTCACTATTACATAATCTAGACACATGCCCCAGAAGAACAGACGTGAAATGTGAAAATGGGTAATGCCAACCAGGAAAAAACAGCTGTACTTTGTGATAGTCCTAGAAAGATGACTTCTGAAATGTAACAGGAGAAACTTTCAGTAACATAATTTTGGCAGCTGCAAACACAGTCACAAGAAGCAAAAATGTAGTGTTCATGTATTGATGCCTTCCTATTTTGATGCAAAGGTCTGATGCACTCTCCATTCATATATCCTCCAAAACTGAATTTCCCCACCTCTTCCAATCCCTGGTACAGACTAAGTCATACACATTTTCCCATAGGATACTTCATGTTGAAATGGCCACAATATTTTATAATCAGAGGTTGCATTACTTATTTTGCCATTGTCTCTTCTGTTTAATCATGTTCTTTAGGGTGAACAAAAGACCTTATGAAGCATCTCCTGGCTCCTCTAATTAGAGCTTGGGGTTCAGTGATCAGAATACTGATCTAATTATCTATACATATTCTATTGTAATTGGGCAGGACAAACTTATCTTCAAGAATATCTTAGAATATTTTTTTGCTGTCACTTATTCTGTGGTATTTTAGTCATGCTACAGACTGAGGAAAGTGTAAGATAAAGTGCTTGATTTTTCTCTAAAAAAGCACTTGATTTTTCTCTAGGCAGCAAAAGATGGGTAAGTGTTCATCTGTTATTTGGCCTTCTGTGAACTTCCAAGCTTTGCTCTCTGGCCTTTCATGCATTAAAGAAGACCTTCCAATTTGTATTCCTGATGGTTAGCTATGACACTTAGCTGATGTATCATAGACACAGATAATACTGTAAGTTTGGGTTTTCCTCATGTTTAGCCTAAATTTAAGTTTATATGAGAGCACAGACTATAATTCATTTTGAAATGAATGTGATGCATTTGTACTAAGAAAAGTTTTTGAGGAAGCAGCGTATTGACAGGGAAATAGTGGCAATGCCATCTTTTTTTACAAAGATACATAGTAAAAGGGCCTTCAAGGTTCACTGGTTTTTGTTGTTTGCAGCGAGGAAGTGCTGATCACAAGATAAAGAATGCAGAGTTAGGTCCAGAATCCAATGCTGGCTATAACTTTTGGTAAAAGTAACTGCATCTTGAAAGCTCAAGGAGCAGAGCATAAAGTTGCCTGCCTCACTGGCTTATTTTTTGTAAGTGACATTTAACAGTCACCCAGAAAAATGCATTAATATCCATTTTATTACTAGAAATAAATTAACTTATTAGTATAGATCACAAAGCACTGTAGACCTTATGTCCTTTTTCCAAGAAGTGAAATTAAGTGGAGTACTTGAACAATGAACCTCCAAAAACATTTTCTAGAAGACCCTGTAAATTTGTAACTTGACTCAATTTTCAGGCAAATTGTAGCTGATTCTTTCATGTATGTATTAGAAGGAAGGAAATTTTTCCAACCTGGTGCATGAGTAGAAGAGGGATCTGTAGTCTGCCTATAGAATTTAATGATAGAAAACTCTTATTAGATCAATCAACTTGAAAAGAAACTGTGGAGCTGTAAAGCATCTTTACTGTTGCTGCCAAACACAGGAAAAGTGCATCCTTAAAACAATGAAGAAAGCAAAATAAGGCATCCGTAGAAGTAATTCAGGTTTCTAATAGCAGAGAAAATGTTTCCCCCACCTCTCCCTATAAAGAGAAATTTAAATCACTTTTGCTATTTCATCTCATTTTGTCTTTAGCTATAATACAAATATTTGAACTATTAAATCCATATGCAATTAGATACCTCTTGCATCTATCATATAAACCATCATGGGTCACGTTCTAAAAGCCCAGTTGCCTTAGCTTTAAGGAGAATATTAGTCATTGAAAGTCAAGCAAGCAGTTCATGGTTTATGTGGACATTACAAAAACCAGTACCAACCAGTAAGGTATTTCTGATCAAGTATCAAGACTCTATGATCTCTGCTTTCCTTAGCTGGCTTATTCATACTACAATCAAAATGTCACCAGAACAAACAGAGAGACTTTTTAATTTTATTCAAGCACACTCCAGCTCTTAGATTGACACAATAGACTGTGACAGCCCTTTCAGAGGCATTCCAGTCCATCATGTCCTGTGTGGTTGTTGTTCAGGCACACAAATCTCTGCACTAAAACTCTTTATGAAATATTTATCCCCAGACAGGTAATGTGCATTATCAATAACAACTTCCCCAAACAAAACTTAGTTAGTCATTTCCCATTTTCCCCAAAAGCACTGAGAGTACATCACAGATTATTGTCTTCAAATCTTTAGCTGTAAAAAAAAAAAAAAAAGACAGGAGGAAAAATATTTATAACTCTTAACTGCTTGAATGAATAGGTGAAAATTTTATGCCTTTCAAATACTTTAAAAGGGCTGAAAAACCAGCTGCAAAGTGGAATTTATAATTGTAAGCAGTGACACACTATACCTTACAGCAGCATCAAGAGTACTTTTATAATGCTGTCACCTGAATACACCATAATTTCATTTGGCAACTAAGTCCTAGTATCAGTCACTGTTGAATCACACTCAATTCAATAATGTAAAATACACAGTCATATTTTTGCATTTATTTTTAGGCTTCCTTTTTTTTTAATTTCAAAGCAAACTTTCTACATGGCATACATAATTCTGTCTGGTTTGAGGGAGTTTTCATTAAACTATAAGTGAATTGCCCTTCTGGCTGAAAATCTGTTTTCTTTTGCATTCCCATCCATCCTATGTGCTACATTCCCTCTTAAATTCCACATGGATTCTATAGATTTTATTTAAGCAGGGCCAAGTTGCATGAACAGATCTGCCCTAGAGAAGTTTGCCTCTTTTAGCATGCAATCCACCACTAATGCTCCTTTTTCATTTAGGTTTTCAATTTGGATGAATTCCAAATTGCCATTTATTCCAATAGAAATGCAACTAATTACACAAAGCATCTTAATAAAGAATGGAAACAAGATTAAAAGCCCTCCTCCTTCTGGCGTTTCAATGTGTGGCATTTATAAAATGTAGAAAGGTGCTTTAATTTCAGTTGTAGTTAGGTCTCCTTATCTTTTATCTGATTTTTAGTACTAGCCAAATAGAACAGTATTCAAGTCGAAGGCTAAACATAGCCAACTTATATGAATTTTTACACAGGGTTTTCCTTACTCACTGTGTTTTCTCATGTTTGCAAATAAAAAACCAGACATATGATGTGTTCAGAGCACCTGTTCTGACCTAGAAAATTCGTTGTCCTGTCTTTCTTCAAAAGCTTTGCACACCCTGAAGAGACAAACAAGTATGTAACTGGGGGAATGAACAGCAAGAGATATTTTATAGGTCAGCTTAATTCACTGTAATCAAAACACACATTTATACAGCCTCTAAGAACACTGTCTGGTTGGATAAGACAGGTTTCAAACAATCTCTCAATGGTTACATGGGTGCGATGATCCTAAGCAGAAAGGAGAATGTGGCTGTAAATGGTCACATTAGGAAAGAATAATTAGAGATGGAAAAGAGCAGGAAAAGAAGGTTTAATATATTTTATATTTTATATAAAAGTTAATACTTAAGCAAGATAAGTACTATGTGAGTGATAAAAACAATGGCACTGACACCACTAGAGATGTGAAGATAGTGACTGAAATCCCAGAAGGAAATAACACACTCTGCAAATGAACAAGTCTGATGACAAGTTTTTGTACTTGAAATTACCCAACACAAAGAATGCACGTACTAG